AACCCTAAACGCCTAAACCGCTAAACCCCAAACCTCTAAACCCCTAAACCCCCAAACCCTAAACCCTAAACCCGATGTTGAGCTGGAGCTGGCGTAGGTGCGGACTGCTTGCAGCTGGGCACCATGTCTTTGGAGCTGGACACGGGCAGCAGGTGGCTCCTGGCGCCTCGTCCGTTGAGGGCCGTTTAGCGTTTCCGGATTGGGGGTTTCCGAAGATAGGGGACCCAAATATAGCACCCTAAATAGTAGGATCCTTATTGTAAGGACCTGAGAATAAGGTACCGCCTATTTTCGGAAACTCCCGATTCAGGCGTCTGGAGCTAGCGTTTAGGTTTTGGGAGTTCAGGAGTCTCACATGGATTTGGGTGTTTGAGGTTTGAGGTGGCTTGGAGGTTTTGAGGTTCTGGAGAAGCGCGGGGAAACTCCGAAAGCTTGCCACCCAAATGCGCTGTGACAAACCAGAAGGCCCGCCACAAAGAACAGTATGAGTTGCACTGCATGCCGAACCCTGGGTGAAGTTGCCTCCATGCTGCAGACGTCTGATGATGAAGCTTCTGTCGTCTAATGCACGGATCTGGTAATGTGTATTCAGCATTGGGATCCCCAGTATGTAGGGGAGAAAGGGTTTATGGATGAAGGGGCCTTCATCAGTTGCGGCGGTTGAAACAGTGGCGACGGAGAGTACGTCCGCACACGACCGACAGCAAGCCCAGTATCAGAGCCGAGTTCTCATAAGACTCATAATCAACCAAAAGCCTTAACACCCACGACCTAGACCTTCTGACTACACTAAACCCGAAACCCTAAACCCTAAGTGCCCCAAACCTGCCGACCTGCCCCAAGCTTTAAATTGAATTCGCCTGAGCCGTGGATAGCCGACGGGACAGAAACCATTGCAGGAGCGTTTCGGGCGCTCTCAACAGGCAGTACGATGCCCAAACGCTAAACCTTAAATCCCTACCTAAACCCCAAAAGTAGGTAAAAAAATGGCCCAAAACCTCCAAAAGGCTATTAGTCTACATACTTTTGGGGTCCAGGTAATCCCCAAGACCCGAATCCCCGTGATAGCTCAAGCTGATGAGAGCCGAAGATGCCTTACAGCCATAGCCTTCCTACCCTCCAGCCCTCAAGCCGTATTCTAAGGATCATTATCCCGGTATCCCATTCGAAATTATCGGAAGCATCAGAAACAGGGATACAAAAAAGTTCTATAAAGGTAATTGGCATCGATATTGAAAAAGACACTTGAAGCGCAACCCCTTAGCTATAAGAGAGGGCCTGGCCTGCTTTACAATCTGAGTGTTTAGGTCTCGGGGTCGTAGGGCTGAAATATGCTGAAATGAAACCCCCTCGGTTTAGGGTTTAGGGTTTAGGGAGCCCCAAGAGTTGTTGGACGGGGTATAGGGCTTCAGATGCAAAAACCCAAACAACCACTCCAGGCCCATTGGCCCTGCTAGGAGAGCCCTGAAGCCCTCTAAACTTGAATCCGAAACTGCACAGTCCTAGACCCAACATCGCCCCTTTTCCTGAAACCCTGTCCAAACCCCTAAACCCTAAGCCATGCCTGCTTGCATGCGACTGTGTGAGTCGAAACCCTAACCCCTAAACCCTCTAAACCCTGACCCGCCCTGCCATGCCAGCCTTGAGCGAGTGTGTGTGTGAGTCGAAACCCAAAAAACATAGCAACCCTAAATCCTAAACTTTAAATCCTAAACCCCCAACCCTAAACCCTAAATCCTCTAAACCCTCTGAACCCTAAACCCAAAAAACATAGCCGGACGCCTTCGAGGTCGTCGTTTTGCCCGATGGCGCCCTCAATGCAAACGCTCTCTCCTCTGAGCCTTGGCCGGGAGCTTTGTTGGGAGTTCTTTGGGGGCTTTGGGGGTTTGGGAATTGAGGGCTTTCGGGTTTTTGTTGGGAGTTCTTTGGGGGTTTAGGAATTGAGGGGTGTTGGGTTTAGAGGTTTAGGAGTTTGGGGGTTTAGGG